GGGAGGGTGGTGGGGAAGAAGGGGGAGAAAAATTTTAAACTCAAAAGCATATGGAAGTGATTATTGATAAATCAAAATAAATTAATAAAATTTTAAAAAATTAAATTAAATTTTAAAAAATTGAGTTCAAAATTCTCTCTCTCTCTCTCTCTCTCTCTCTCTCTCTCTCTCTCTCTCTCCCTACCTCCATCTCCTCCTCCCCCCTGAGACGGTAAGCCATTTTATTTAGGTCTACACATACAATCATGCAAAACATATTTCCATTTTAGTCATGTTGTGAAAGAAAACACAGACAAAAAACAAAAAACACAACAACCACCACCAAGAAAAATGAAGAAAGGAAAAAAAATATGCTTCAATCTGCATTCAGACTCCACAAGTTCTTTCTCTGGAAGTGGACAGTCTTTTTCATCATAATTCCTTTGGAATTGTCTTGGATCACTGTATTGCTGAGAATAGCTAAGTCATTCACAGCTGATCATGGTATAGCATCACTGTTACTGTGTACACTGTTCTCCTAGTTCTGCTCATTTCATTTTGCATCAGTCCATGTAAGTCTTTCCAGGTTTTTCTGAGAGCATCCTGCTGGTCATTTCTTATAGCACAATAGTATTCTATCACAATTATATACCACAAGTTGATCAGCCATTTCCCAATTCATAGACATCCCATCAATTTCCAATTCTTTGCCACCACACAAAGAGCTGCTATAAATATTTTTGTACATATAGGTCTTTTTCCTTTTTTGTTTTTACCTCTTTGGGATACAGACCTAGTAGTGGTATTGCTGAGGAAAGGGTATGCATGGTTTTGTGGTCCTTTGGGTAAAGTTCCAAATTGCTCTCCAGAATGGTTGAATCAGTTCACAACTTCACCAACAATGCATTAATGTTTCAATTTTTCCACATCCTCTGCAACATTTGTCAATTTCCTTTTTCTGTCACATTAGCCAATCTGATATGTGGTACTTAAGAGTTGTTTTAATTTGCATTTCTCTAGTCAATAGTGAATTAGAGCATTGTTTCATATGACTACAGATAGCTTTGATCACTTTGTCTAAAAATTGCCTGTTATATCCTTTGACCATTTCTCAAATGGGGAATGACTCTTATTTTTTTAAAGTGATTTTTAAGCCTATAAAAGGCCATTTTTTTGGTTTTTTAAAAATTAATATATTTTGAATTATCAACAATCATTTCCATACGCTTTTGAGTTTTAAATTTTTCTCCCCCTCCCCCCCACTTCCCTCCCCAAGACGGCGTGCAATCTGATATAAGCTATATACACATACATTCCTATTAAACATATTTTCTCATTAGTGATGTTGTAAGAATTAGAACCAATAGGAGGAACCACCAGAAAGAGGAAACAAAACACAACAGAAGAAAAAAAATAGCAAATAGTATGCTTTAATCTGCAGGGGATGACTCTTATTTTTATGCCTTTGACTTAGTTCTCTATATACTTGAGAACTGAGGTCTTTATCAGAGATACTCGCTGTAAATTTTTTTCACAGTTATGATTACTAACTGTATTTCTCTCCTTCCTATTTTCACTGTTTATCCTACCCTCTCTCTCCTTTCACCCTGTATATCCTCAAAAAATGTTTTGCTTCTGACTACCGCCTTCCCCAATCTGCCCTTCTTTTTTTCAGTCCAACAACCCTACCCCCCAACCCCTGGCCTTCTCTTATCCCTTTCCCCTCCTACTTTCCTGTAGGATAATACAGATTTCTATATTCACCCAAATATGTATGTTATTCCCTCTTTGAGCCAGTTCCAATGACAGTAAGGTTCAAGCATTTCTGCCCACCTCCCCATCTTCCCCTCCACTGTAAAAGCTTTTTTGTGCTCTTTTATGTGAGATAATTTACCCCATTCTACTTCTCCTTTCTCCCTTTTCCTAGTGGATTCATATTTCTCATCCCTTTATTTTATTTTTTTAGATATCATCCCATCATATTCAACTCACACCCATACCCTCTGTCTACGTATTCTTCTAACTGCCTTAATAATGAGAATGTTCTTAGGAGTTACAAGAATCATTTTCCCATGTAGGAATGTAAACAGTTTAATCTTATTGAATTCCTTATGAGTTCTCTTTCCTGTTTATCTTTTTATGCTTCTATTTGAAAGTCAAATTTTCTATTCAGCTCTAGACTTTTCACCTGGAATGCTTGACAGTCCTCTGTTTCACTGAATGTCCATTTTTCCCCCTGAAGGATTATGCTTAGTTTTGTGGGGTAGGTGATTTTTGGCTGTAATCCTAGTTCCTTTGCCCTCTGGAATATCATATTCCAGGCCCCTCTGATCCTTTAATCTAGAAGCTGCTAAATCTCCTGTTATCCTGATTGTGGCACCACAATATCTGAATTGTTTCCCTGCTTGCAATATTTACTCCTTGAACTGGGAACTCTGGAATTTGACTGTAATATTCCTGGAAGTTTTCATTTTGAGATCTCTTTCAGGAGGTGATTGATGGATTCTTTCAATTTCTATTTTGCCCTCTGGTTCTAGAATATCAGGGCAGTTTTCCTTGATGATTTCTTGAAAGATGATGTCTAGCCTCTTTTTTTGATCATGGCTTTCAGGTGGTCCAATAATTTTTAAATTATCTCTCCTGAATCTATTTTTACATCAGTTCTTTTTTTTTCCAATGAGATATTTCACATTTTCTTGTATTTTTCATTCTTTTAATTTTGTTTGGTTGTTTATTGATGTTTTATGGAGTCATTAGCTTCTACTTGCCCATTTCTAATTTTTAAGGAATTATTTTCTTCAGTGAGGTTTTGTATCTCCTTTTCCATTTGGCCAATTCTACTTTTTAAGGTGTTCTTTAGTGAATTCTTGTACATCTTTTTTTTCCATTTGGACAGTTCTATTTTTTAAGGCATTCTTCTCTTCATTGGATTTTTGTGCCTCTTTTACCATTTGACTTATTTTGTTTTTTAAAGTGTTATTTTCTTCATTATTTTTGCGCCTCATTTACCAACCTGTTGACTCTTTTTTCATGATTTTCTTGCACCACTGTGATTTCTTTTCCCAATTTTTCCTCTATCTCTCTTATTTGATTTTTAAAATCCTTTTTGAGCTCTTCTAGCATTTTTTTTTTTTGCCAGAGACCAATTCACATTTTTCTTTGAGGCTTTAGATATAGCAATTTTGACTTTGTTGTCTTCTGAGCGTGTGTTTTTATCTTCCTTGTAACCACAGTAATTTTCCATGGTCAGGATCTTTTTGTTGTTGTTTGCTCATTTTTCTAACTTATTTCTTTTTTAGCTTTATATTAAAGTTGGGCTCTGCTCCTGGGATGAAGGGGGCACTGCCTCGAGCTTCAGGTTTTTTATATAGCTGTTTTCGGAGCTTGTTTTGGGGGTCTGTAAGTTTTCAGTCCTTCCAAGGTGGTCTGATCTAAGGAGAGGTGTGTTTACTACTCTTGGCTTGTGCTCTGGTCTGTGAGTGACCATATGGACTCTCTTATACCCTGGACCTGTGACCAGGGTCCCTTGTGGCTACAAGCTCTGGTATGCTAGTGCTCCTCCTCATCCTGGGACAGCAACCCAGGATTGTGACGTGGATCTGAATATGGGCCATGCATCAGAGTCCTGCCCCTGGTGCCAGCAAAGGTACCTCGGTCATTTCTTTCTGACCAGTTTTCCAGCCTCTGGGGGCTGAGACTGCAGAAGTAACCACTGGCATCACTGATTCAGTTACTCCCAAGACCTGCTCCTGGTTTCCTGTTGCACACTTGTGGCCAAAGCTTGTGCTGGACTGTGCTCCACTCTTATTCCAGTGTGAAGACCTTTCTTGCCAACCTTCTAAGTTGTCTTTGGCTGGAAAATTGTTTTACCCCATCTTTTTGTGGGTTCTGCTACTCCAGAATTTGTTTTGAGGCATTATTTAAAGGTTTTTGTTTTGTTTTTTGGTGAGGCAATTGGGGTTAAGTGACTTGCCCAGAGTCACACAGCTAGTGAGTGTTATATGCCTGAGGCCGGATTTGAACTCTGGTCCTCCTGACTCCAGGGCTGGTGCTTTATCCACTTCCCACCTAGCTGCCCTTTATTCAAAGTTTTTTTGGAGGGGAATTTGGGAGAACTCAGGCAAGTCCCTGCCTTTTCTCCACTATCTTGGCTCCCTGGACCCAGTTTTGAATCCCTGCTCTGCTACTTACTAGCTATTTGACCTTGACAAAAATCTTACTACCTATTTGGGCCTTAGTTTCCTCATCAATCTGACAACATTTATTAAGAACCTATTCCAAGAAGCAGTGTGATATTGTAGATAGAGATTTGGCCTCAGGAAACTGGGTGTAAATATTCATCATTCAGTTGTTTCAGTCATGTCTGACTCTTTGTGACCCTATTTGGGGTTTTCTTGGCAAAGATACTGGAATGGTTTGCCATTTCCTTTTCTAGGTTATTTTACAGATGAGGAAACTAAGGCAAATAGGGTTACTTGACTTGCCCAAGGTCACATTGCTAGTAAATGTCTGAGGAGGGATTTGAACTAGGGTCTTCCTGACTCTAGGCCAGGCACTCTTTCCACTGCACCACCTAGCCACTTGGTGTAAATATACTAAATATATGAAGGGCCCCAAAAGGACTGCTAAGTATATATACAAATGACACAAACACAAATTTGACCTAAAGTTAATTTGCAATAATGAAACATTATTAAACTAGGCCTAGGTTCAAGTCCCTCCACATATTGGCTGTATGATCCTGGTAACTCTAAGACTAAGTTGCAGAGAGAGTGCTGGCCTGAATTGGCCATGTATCTTGGATTGGCTCTGAAGAGGAAGGGGCTGGAATTCCTCCTCAGCAAGGCCCAAAGCCCAAGGCAAAGTCTTTCCCTTGCACCAGATGAGAGGAGGGGGGAATGATCTGCTGAGACACTATAGTGCTGTGTGGCCATAGCCATCTGAGTTTTACTGTGTTTCTCTCCCTACCCCGTTTCCTTCTCTCCTTCCCTACCTCTTCATCCCCCTCATCTTCGTGGCAGCTTTTCCCAGCACCGCTGCAGACTCTCTCTAAGAAGATTGTCCAGTCCCGGACCAACAGCACCGTAGTTGGGGTCTTCACCATTATCCTGGTTTTCCTGTCTGCATTTGTCAACATGGTATGTGGTCCCACCATCTACTTCACAGCATCCATGGCCTAGTTCTGACAGAGCTCTGCAAGCAAAGGGAACAAAAGGACTCCTCCACAGCCCTTAAGGTCTTCTTCTGTAGGAAGATCTTGTGTCTAACCGCCGGGACTTAACCCATGCAGCTCTGAGGCTGGGGTAGGATGGAATGCTTAAGGTCATCCAGCATTGAATCTTCCATTTCTAGCTACTTAGTGCCCTACTCCCAGGGCTAGAAGCTAATTAAAAAACTTAGACCACTATTTTATTGATCTAAAAATAAGCCCATTTGTTTTCTTCTCAAATCTAATTTCACCAAAACCTGAGTTCATATTAGGACAAATAAAGTGTCCAAAATAAAGAAACCACTGATGATAAAAGTTAATGACATTTATTTCAATGAAAAAAATGTTTAAAAAAACCCTTTTATAGTAACATTTAAAACATTTGTACAATTATTTTTCATCATATACCCACATTTCTCTTTTGAAAGAGATCTCCTTGAAAGGGTCTGTCCTGTATTTGTGAATGGCATATATTCAAATCAATGTGATCTTTTCAGTTGAGCTGTGGAGGACATGGGAGACATCACTGCACATATCTTAAATGGCCCAGCACCAATTTCACTCTCTCATACTCACATGTCTCTCCTCTTCCTACCCCAGTAGAATGTAAGCTCTTTAAGATTTGGGGTTGTTTCATTCTTTGTATCCCCAGCACCTAGCACAGTGCCTGATGAAGTAGGTGCTTAACGATGCTTATTGAGTTGACTTTATGCATGTCTATGACCACATACTCAGGATAACTCTTATACTCTCATCCCTTCCTGCTACAATTTAATGTATACATTCAGATGAATAGTTACTTTTTCCCAACCACCACTAGGGTGGAACCCACAAAGTGGAAGTAGAGGAAAACTCAAAGGTGGGAAAGAGTCCAACAAGAAGTTGTCATCCCATTGCATCCTATGACAATAAGTCTGCTCACCTGTAGAACCCCAGCCTTAGGGACCTCTCTCTCATGTCTGTCCCCTTCTCTCTGCCCAGTTCATGTGCAACCCTGTAGATTTGTTCAGCTGCCTTGCAGAGGAGCACAACATCACCGTGAACCAAGTCAACGCCTGCCATGTGGGTGAATCAGCTTTCAATTACAGCCTGGGCATTGAGCAGGGCTTCTGTGGCAACCCCTGGCCCAACTGCAATTTTCCAGAGGTACCCTGTGGAATTTGTGGGGCATGGAGGAAGGGGGGCAGAAATCAAAATTCAGGAGAGAGACAGGGAGTCAGGGTTAAGAGTGGAGGGACCTGAGGGCTGAGGGTCTCCATGGGAGGAGGCAGAGAGATGATTGCCAGACTTCCCTGTCCCATCCTCACCATCTGTACTTGACTATAAAAATAGTCAAACAAGGAGGAAAAAAAAATCAGGTTTTATCTTGACTATTGTTGTTTTTACAACAATAAGAGCCTGAATTTACAGGGTAGGAAAAAGACACTGTGACATTAGTGGCAGGAGAGCCTGCCAGGGAATCAGAAAGACCTGGCTTCAAATCTTGTATCTGACACACACTAAATGTGTGACTCTGCACAAGTCATTTAACCTCTCAGTGACCCCTGCATCAGTAGAGGGGGTTTCCTCACTGGGAGTTCCTTGTACCAAAGAAGTCACAGGTCTAATAAAAAATGTCTTTGGGTTTTTTTTTCCAAAAGACTTTCCTCAAAACATCCCTATGAAAATGGTTAGGGGTCCAAGGATTATCTTAGTATGGGTGAGGAAAATGAGGCTCAGAGAGTTAAATGCCCTTGCCCATGGTCACATAGCTGATGCCTCAGAACAAGGATCCGAGCCCAGGTCTCCACAATCCTAGTCAGCAGCTCTCAAATGTAGATTTGCATGTGGCTCTCAGAGGAACCCAAGGTATTACGTTCCTGCACCGAAGGAGCAAACACAGCCCAAGGCCGAAGGACAAGAAGTAGAAAAGGAGAATCAGGCAGAGTTGATGTAGTTATTCATGTTAGAAGGATAACATGGCGGCCTCCTGCAGAAGGCCTCCTCTCCTTCATCCAGACGCTGCCTTAGCAGACAGATGGCCATTCTTCCCATGCCCCAGGCAGCTCTCTAAGATAATATATTGCAGAGAAGCAGCCAGTCTTCATTGCTAAAGTGAGTTTTCTCACCAGGATTCCCAATGCTAATGGAATCTAAGAGCTGGGGTGGGGGGGTGGGGGCTTGGTTTGTTTTTTGTTTGTTAAGTAAGGCCTAGAAAGAGGCAGGATGTATCTAGAGTCATGGAGCATATGAATGGTAAAGTTGAGACTAGAATCCAGGTCTTCTGGTGCCCAAACTGTATGCTATTCTCTGAGATGCTTTTTCTCCTGGATCTTTGGGACCAAGTTTCTTCTTTCCCCATTTATCCCTCTCCTTCAGGCTCGCTTACTCTCAAAGGCAACAGTGGGAAGGCAGGCTTTCTGCTTGATTCTTCCCCAGTCCCACCCCCCATCATCCCCATTATTCCTGAACTTCCTCTCACCCCTACCCTCCTTCCCCCAGCTGCCTCTGCAGGCTGATGTTTATCTGTTTCTTTTCACATCTGGACTGAGAACTCTGGAGAGAGCCGACTGGTTTCCACTTCCTGACAGGTGTTTGCTGATGACTAAAGACTATTTTTAATTTCTCCTCCCTTTCCCCTCTTCTGATCCCCCCACCACCCCTGCATCCCCGTCTCCCAGGGAAGCTGTAAGCCTGATTGCAGCAACTTCAGGAAACCTGGGATCCGTCAGGACCTGCCTCATTGGCTCCTCATAAATGGGAGATTGATGGGCCCCAGAGCCTGTGTTCTCTTAGCTCTGACAGGCGTGGCCTGTTCCTCCACACAGCAGGCAGGGACCCAGGCCTCATCATGATGACATAGTCAAGGGTCCTGGAGGACTATTCCCTTTACCTCCCCCCCAAAGTAAAACAAAACAAAACACACATGGCTCTAGTGCCAAACCTTAGCTTGGTCAGCCCATCACCCAGGAAACACTCTGAGCTCCCCAAGTGAAAAAACGTCCTCCTCCCCGCCCAGGTTGGAAACCAAAGAGCTAGCATGTACATAGCACTTTATGGTTTGCAAAGTACTTTCCACATGGAAAGTGTCATTTGGTCCTCAGAACAACCTTGTGAGGTAGTTGCTAAGTTATCCCCATTTTATGGATGAGAAAATGGAGGCTGAAAATAGATTAAATGACTTGCCCAGGGTCACATAGCTAGTAAGTGTCTGAGGTAGAATTTGAACGCAAGTCCTGCTGGCTCCAGGTCCTGGTCTATCCACTGCACCGCCTCGCTGCTACAGAAACTGCCAAAGTTCTCTAAACTAAACTGGGAGTAGAAGGCCTAGGACCCCAGTAATTCAGGTCTCACCCCCATGTGCCTCAAGTGGATAAAGTAGACACGGGCTATTGGGCTGCATCCTACAGAGAATTTTCTCTCCCTTTTCTGTCTTCCCCTTCTGCTCTAGTCCTTTTATGGCAGCTAAGACAGCCCGATCCCAGCTCTTCTTCCTATCACTCCCTAGGGTCTTTGTAGGGGGAGGCAGGGAGGAGACACTAACTATTCAGCTCCCTCCAAAATCTAGGAAGGTCAAATGGGAAGGGTAAGGAAAGGAACAGCTCTCCCCTCCCTACCCCATAACCCACTACCACCATCCTCTCCCTCTACCCTGGGTCATTCTCTTGGTCTGAGTTTGATGCAGGAAGATAGTGACCTGGACGGAGGGAATTACTGGCCAGTTAAGAAGGTCTTAGCACTGACTCTGAAGTAACAACAGGTCTGCATATTTATTTCCAAAAAAGGGTCCCCGGGTCACCCCATCTTTCTCTCTCCCTCATTGCTCTGATGGCCCCTGCTTTGGAGTGACCCCGTTTAGAGAGGCAGAGCACACCTGGGCTGCAGTTCTAGCAGGGGGCAGGGGAGAACTCTGTGCTTCCCTGGGCCTACGGAGCCACGCCTGACACTCCCCCATCGTCTCCCCCCAGTACTTCACCTACAGCGTCCTGCTCAGCCTGCTTGCCTGCTCCGTGTTCCTGCAGATCAGCTGCATCGGGAAGCTGGCACTGATGCTGATCATTGAGGTTATCTACGTGCTCCTGGTGGAGGTGCCTGGAGTCACACTCTTCGACAACGCCGACTTGCTGGTCACAGCCAACGTCATGTGAGTGGTCCTGGCACCTCCACACCCTCTGGCTTTGTGCCCTCCATTCCCCTCCCTCCACTGGCAGGGCCTGAAGTCTACTACTTGGTAGAGAGGATTTTAGAACCACAGACTCCTTGTTCTAGAGAAGAATACCTGGAGGAAATCATCTAACCCATTTCACTGGCCTTAACCACTTACCCCACCTAAATTAGGTCAGGTACATGAGGCTTTATTAAGTTTGCCACCTCTACCTTCCCACCCCTGATGAAATAATGACTAACGGCTGTGTGATAACTACTTAGACTACAGGTCATCACTTTCCCCCTACTCGATCCCCTGCTTCCACAGCTTCCCAGCTCAGTTCTGCTCAAGGCTTCCTGGTCCCATTCTGGAATAAAAACAGACCATCAAATCCCCAAGGAACTTCCTAGGGGACATGAATGCCTGTGGGTCCTTAGGGCAGAGAATTAGGAAGAGTTAAGCAGAGGAAAGAGCTACAGATGAAGATTCTGGACACAAACATTAAAGGACAAAAGGTCCTGGGACACTCTTAATACATCTTCAGGCCTTGAAGTCCTGAGAGTAGTTGTTCCCTCTCTCTCCTGAGAAAGAAACAGAAGCCACAGTGTGAAGGATTCAAGTCAGTTACGAAGGCAGATCTTCCAGACAGAGTGAGAGGGTGGAACAGAGGACTTAGAGAAGGTACCTCGACCTCCTTCCCATGTATCATACTGTGGGCATGTGCAGTCCTTGAATTACTACAGATGAGAAAATAGAGAGGTAATCCTTGAAGTGAAGCCCCCAGGACACTCCTGAAGCCATCAAACGGAAGTAGGACCAGGAGGGCCCCAGGATCCCAGGGTCACTAGAGTAACTTTAGAATGAGAATAATGAGTTTTTATCATCAGAATACTAGCAATTATTAGTAGGGTGTAGGGGGGAGGGTGCTGCACTTAGAATCACAGCACCTAAGCTGGAATCTCTGCCACTTACTAGCTGTGTGACCTTGGGACCCAGAGGAATCTCTGGACCTCAGTTTTCTCAGCTGTAAAAGGAGGAAGTTAATTTCTAAGGTCCCTGACAGCTCTAGTTCGATGAGCCTATAATTATGATGAGACAGCCAGACAGTGTTGGCACAGAATAGCTTCAGAAAGCATCCATGCTATCATGGTGCTGAGGCTATGGTGGTTGTGAGCATGGCTGTTGGTCAAGTATCGGTGGAATCTGCCTCTGTTTACCTCTTGGGAAGCTTTGAAAATGTGGGTGGGACACAGTAGACAAATTCTGAGCTCTCTGGTGTTTCACTGAAAGCAGTTAAAATGGCCTTGGGATGAGGGGGACTAAATCCTGGGGATCCAGTGTGTGGAAGGACATGCTGGAACATAAGCCCCAAGAAATGCTGCAGTGCTGACTCAGGCTTTCTCTGGCTTCTGATTCCAGTGATTTCTCCAGCAACAACGGAACGATGCAGTGGTGAGTTGATGCTTAATATCTATTCACACGTAGAGGGCATCCAGAGTAAACAGGAGACAACAACAACCAGACAGGCGATATTACAGAGAATCCCTAGAGGGGACCTTGGAGATTACCTGGAGCAGTGGCAGGACCACTGGTCTCTGGAGTCAGAAGACCTGGGTTCAAATTCCACCTCTGATGATGACTGCCTAGGTGACCTTTGATAAGTCACTTAACTTATCTGGGCCTGTTCCTCATCTGTAAAATGGAGCAGACTCAATCCCCTTTAAGATCCCTTCCAGCTCCCAATCTAGGACTATAAAGCATTTTCCCAAGGTCAGATAGCAGGTGGCATTCTTTCTACTAGGCTGTAATGCCTCATTTTAGATGCCAGGAGACTCAGGTTTAATCACAGACAAGACACATGCAGACTGCTATGAGGGAAAAAGGGTAAGCTTGAAAGGATGAGGCTGGGGTTAGTTAGAAAGTGATTTATCCAAGTATTAGGATGTTCTGAAACCCAATCTTATATATGCCCACCAGGGAATCCCATGCAAGGATTAAAAAAATTTTTTTTAAATTTTAACTACCATTTATCTCTACATTATCTGTGGCCATAAAGTGTAATGAAATCTTGGATAATCAAAATCCAGACAAGCCAGAAGCCTCATTTTATTTAGTATAAGATCCTAGCTTTCCTCCAAACCCCCAGCCAACCTTGATCCAGAAACTACTCATAGCCTGGGGCAGTTAGGTGGCAAAGTGGATGGAGTGCTGGGCCTGGAGTCAAAATGACTCCTCTTCCTGAGTTCAAATCTGGCCTCAGACATTTACTAGCTGTGTGACTCTGGGCAAGTCACTTGACCCTGTTTGCCTCAGTTTCCTCATATGTAAAATGAGCTAGAGAAGGAGATGATAAACCACTCCAGTATACTCCAAATAGGGTCCTGGAGAGTCGAAAACAACTGAATGACAACAACACTGACAGCCTTGGTGTGTGCCCCCTCTCTTTTCCTTCTAGGAAAAAGGACTGGTGGGCAAAGAAATGACAAGGGCACAGAAGTGAGGAAGGGAAGAAACAAGGTTCAGCCCTTGGATGTTTGACAGTTGGCTGTAATAGTACACCATGTGTTACTCTGAAGCAGGACAATCTGTGGCCTCAAGGCCACATGGGGCCCTCGAGGTCCTCAAATGCGGTCTTTGACTAAATCCAAACTTAACTGTGAAGTCTAGATTCAGTCAAAGGACTGCACTTGAGGACCTAGAGGGCCCCATGTGGCCTTGAGACTGCAGGCTTCCCTCTCCTGTGAGCACTCACGGCCTTGACTTGGTACCTGACCATTGTCAGGTCATGTGTATGGAAAAATATGTACGTTACCTGCCAAGTGGTTTTTTTGCTTGTTTGCTTTTTGGAGGCAGTTGGGGTAAGTGACTTGCTCAGCATCACACCACTAGTAGGTGTCTGAGGCTGGACTGGAACTCAGGTCCTCCTGACTCCAGGGCCTGTGCTTTATCCACTGTACCATCTAGCTGCCCCTGCCAAGTGGGGTTTTAGCCTCTTGGGGGCAAATAAGTAGATGCCTTGTAAAGTCAGGAAACCTGGATTCTAGTCCTAGCTTTGCTACCAACCAGCTGTATGATAGGAGGCAGGTCACATTCTTTCTGTGGCTTTAGTTTCCTCATCTATAAAGTGAAGGATTTGAAATGGATGATCTCTGCCTTCAGGAAGCTTCCAATATAATAGGTGAAAACACAGAGAGAGAAGAGGGGAGGAGAAAGAAGAGAGGAGGGGGAGAAAGAGAAGAGAGAGGAAGAGGAGAAGGGGGAGGGGGAGGGAGGGAGAAGGAGAGGAAAAGATAGGAAGAAGGGGGAAAGAAAAGGAGAGGAAAGGAAGAGGGAGAGGAGGGGAGAGGAAGAGGGAGGGGAAGAGAAAGAGAGGAAAGAAGAGGGAGAATGACAAGAGACAGAGAAAGAGAAGCTTAGATGAAATTACGTGAACGCTATCTTATGGAAGGGAGGAGAGCAGAGTGAACTGGCAGAAGGTATGGGTTGGAGGGAACCAAGATCCACTGTGTGCTGTCCAAGGCAAGTTACAAGCGCAAGTTCTCTTTCTGCCTACAGTCCCGAGCATGTGACAAAGGTAGCCCTGAAGATCATGACGCCCATCATTATCTCTGTCTTTGTGCTGGCTTTGTACCTTCATGCCCAGCAGGTGGAGTCCACAGCTCGGCTAGACTTCCTCTGGAAACTTCAGGTAGGTGGGGCTTCTACTCATTTCTGTTGCATTGGGGAATGAGGAAGGAACTCATTTAGCCTGTATGTCATTCTAGAGCTGTGTAGTCGGGGCACAGTGTGGACAAGGCAGCCCTCAGTGAAAAGCTAAGTCCTTTGCTGTCAAGATTATTATTTTAGGTATGGTATAGACTAATGCTTGGTAAGCCACTCCCTATCCCAGTTTTTCAGAGAAATTAAGGGAATGAAGGGGATTAAAGGAAGATTACTTATGAAACTCTCAGAACTTGATATAGCCTGACCCATCATCATCATCATTACTCTACATAACAAGTATTTATCTGGATCTACTGAGGAAGGCAGAAGGGGATGGGGGATACAGAAAAGTATAAGACATAGTCTGCACCTTCATGGCACTTATGGTCTAGATGCAAGAAGACAAGATGTCTCCATGTAACCATACTATTAGCATTTTAAGTTATGGTATGAAAATGTTGAGGGAGTTCGAAGAAGAAATTAGAAAAGACTTCATGCAAGAGGAAGGAATTGAGCTGAAGCTTAAAGGATGGGTAGTATTTATATAAGATATAAAAGGTGGAGAGAATGGCATGAGCAAAAACATGCAAGTATGAAAGTCTAAGGGCAGCTGGGTGGCACAGTGGATACAGCGCCAGGCCTGTAGTCAGGAAGACTCATCTTTCTGAGTTCAAATGCAGCCTCATACACTCACTAGCTGTGTGACCCTGGGCAAGTCACTTAACCATGTTTGCCTCAGTTACTCATCTGTAAAATGAGCTGGAGAAGGAAATGGCAAACCACTCCAGTATCTTTGCCAAGAAAACACTGAATAGGGTCATGGAGATGTGGATGCATCTGAAAAATGAATGAACAACAGTGACATGAAAGTCCGAGGAACGTAATTGAGTCTGGCTGGAGTGAAGTGCTTATGTGGCAGGAGATTATATTAGACTGTGGAAAGCCTCAAATGCCAGGCTGAAACATGTTATTCTACAGGCAGTGGGGAGTCACAGGAAGTTTCTAAGCAATGAAATGGCATGTTCAATACTATGCATAAGGAGTGTTAGTCTGCCGGTGGTATGGAAGATGGATCAAAGACAGAAGAACCTGGAAGCAGGGATGCCAATTAGGAGACTTGCTGTATAGAATGCTGGACTTGGAGGAAGACCTAGGTTCAAATCCTGCCTCTGACATTAACTATGTGACCTTAGGCAAGTCACTTAACCTTCAGTTTCTTCATATGTAAAATGAGGGGGCTGGTCTTAATGAACTCTAAGGTCTCTTCCAGCCCTGAATCTCTGGTGCATACTATGAAGAGCCTGGATTTAATTTTTAGTTAAGAATTACGGATACCCTGACAACAACTTCCAGAGGCCAGAGCCACATTGAACAGTTTCTAATCGGACATGCCTTCAAACACTTAAAAAGGGTTGCTCGGACTCCTCTTTTTCAGGCTGAATGATTAGGCATCCTTTATCTTCTTTCAGGTCTCCCCCTCAAGCCCTTTCCCCCACCTCTGAGTCTACTCTCAGAGCCATCCCCAGGCCACCCACATCTGTCCTTGTGTGTGAAGCCCAGAAGAGGCTCCAGCACTGTATTCAGTGCCTGACCATCCAGGGTGTGTAGCTGAGGCTAGGGGAGGCCAACACTCTCCTTTTCCCCAGCCCATAAGAGGCATGCTCTCACTGGAGGGAGCCCAAGCTGGGTTGCCTCTACACTAAATACTTCTGAAGATGGAGGAAGAAGCAGGAAGGAGGAGAGAGATCCTAAACAGACATCCTTAGCTACTACCCCACTGTTGAGGCATATTTATTCCACCTCTTCGCAGGAGAGTAAGCAAATGGAGGAACTGTCTGTCAGAGCTGAGCAAAACCAGCCCTTCAGGCTTTACTAAATGCAGTCTCTGACACCTGCCCTCTTCCCTAGCCCCTTGGCCAGACATTGTCAGCTGCCTGGGCCTGGCATGGGGTCAAGGGTTATTCTTCCCCAGGTATAAAGTAACAGTTTCTAGTCTTGAGAACCTCGGCCTTCTTTGAAAGTTTGTTAGCAGCCACAAGTAGGCTTCTGTCTATTGGAAAATTAGGGCCTTTGGCTCGCCCTTGGTTTATGAGTAGTCTGCCTACACAGGCAGCCTTGGTTGGACTTCTCTGCAGAAAGCCCACAGACCACACAAGGACCGTGTTTGTTAGTGGCACAGGAGTGGGTGCCACCAACACAGCCCTCTCCTTACCTCTTGTAAGAGTCCAGCTACTTGCCATGAGCATCAGAGGATGCACTTCTTTACTCTTCTAGCTGATAATTCATTAGAATTAGTGATTGTTCAGCCATCTTCTCCCCATCCTTTCCCCTTCTACACACCAGGAGAGAAAGGTTCACTGGATTCACAGATAGGATCATAGCTCTGGAGAGGGAAGGGACCTCGGGGCCATCAAGTCCACTCCTCTTATTTTATAAATAGGGAAACCGAGGTACCCAGTAAGGTTAAAGTGATTTGTCCAAGGTCACAAATGGAGTCAAGTGTCAGAGGCAGGATTTGAACGCAGGTGTCCTCTGACTCCACATCCATCCCCACTGCACCACACTACATCTGGAAACTTGATATGTTGCTCTTTAAAGAACACTGGCCCCTGCCCTTGCTCATGTACATTCCCCTCCATAACCTATCCCATCCCAATAACTTTGAAGAGCAATATGGGAACAGTCTTAGGTGACACATGCAGGTGATTAGCATAGCCTCGAGGGGGAGTAGAGAGTGGAAAAAAGGAGAAAGTATAAATTTTTACAAGCAAGTATAAAGGGCTAAGCCTGAACCAATATCAGGTTTTCTTCAGTGTACTGAAATCCAAGGGGTTGAGACAGAAACACAAAACTGGCTGTAGGAACACTTGCCCCAAAGTTTTCATCTTTTATGGAGGTCGCTTGCATCTCATGTCCCATTTTGATTTACTGGCATGGTCAATAGGCTGGAGTCCACTGTGTTCCCCTTCTGACTCAGCTACATCAGTTAGGTTAATGGGCTCAGTCACCACTACTTAACAGCTGCATCACCTTGGCTAAGTTAATTAACCTCTCCAGGTCTGTACATTGTACCCCTAATGCTATTTTCTCCATCACTAATGATATTTTGTCTCTGCCAAGCCAAATGGGACATTCAGAATCATGCACCCTTACAGCCAATGGGGAATTTCGAGTCTGATACCCTGTAATTTCATCAAGAGGAATGGGAGCTGAATTGATTTAACCTATCAGACCCCACTCCACTATGATGTCTTTTTTTTAAACCCTAACCCTAACCCTAACACTACTGTTTGGGAAATTGAGGGCATCTCTGTGGGATTTGTTCTTTTGGGCCCTATATGGAACTAAGGGTGTTGGATGGGTGCTTCAGAGGCAGATTTTGGCCTTCCTGACAGTCACAGCTGTCTGACAGTGGAATGGACTGCCCTGGGAAACAGAAAGCTTCCTTCAGGCAGAGGCTAGATGACCATTTGTCAGGATGTTGTAAAGGCAACTCCTGCACTTGATATGGGCTAGATTGGTTGACATTTGAGGGCCCTTCCACGTCTGTGATTCTGTAATTCTGTGACTGTCATTTGAGCCATTGGAGTACAGCATTCTATGAGAGCTTTAGTCATCCGGCATATAGAGGTACTGACAGCTAATGTCACATTCAAAATCAGATCAACAACCTACCAAAGGCATTTTTTAAGCACCTACTATGTGCCAGGTGCTGTGCTAAATGCTAGGGATACAAAAAAGGCAAAAGGCAGTCCTGCTCTCAAGAAGCTGCCAGTCAAATGGGAGAGACAACATGAAAATAGCTGTGTACAAACAAGACATATACAGGGTAAATTGTAGGTAATCTCAGAGGGAAGATACTAAGATTAAGAAAGATCAAGAAAGGTTTCTTGCAGAAGATGGGACTTTAGCTGAGCCTTGAAGGAAGCCAGGGAAACCTGGAGGCACAGATGAGGAGGGAGATTATTCTAGTCATGAGAGCTAGCCAGTGAAAAATGCCCAGAGTCAGGAAGGAAGAGCAAGGAGGTCAGTGTCACTGGATTACAGAGTACATGGGAAGATTAAGGTATAATGAGACTTGAAAGATAGGACAAGGCCAGGTTATGAAGGGATTTAAAAGCCAGATATGATTTTACATTTGATTCTGGAGATGATAGGGAGCCACTGTAGTTTATTCAATGGAGGGGGTAATATAGTCAAATTTACCCTTCAGGAAGATCAATTTGATGGCTGGAGTGGGGAGAGACTTGAGGTAGGAAGACCAGCTGGCAGGCTATTGCAATAAACCAGGTGTAAGGTGGTGGTAGCAGAGTCAGGGGCCTATTCAAGAGATGCTATGAAGGTAGGAACAATAGAGGGTGAGGAGTCGAGGATGATACCTAGGTTGTGAGCCTGAGTGACTGGGAGGATGGTATGACCTTCGGCAGTAATAAGAAGGTTAGAAACAGGGGCATCTAGGTGGTGCAGTGGACAGGGTACCAGAGTCAGAAGGACCCAAGTTCAAATCCAGCTTCAGACCGACACTTGACACTTACTAGCTGTGTGACCCTGGGCAAGTCACTTAGCTCCAGTTGCAAGGAAGGAAGAAGGAAGGAAGGAAGGAAGGAAGGAAGGAAGGAAGAAGAAAGAAAGAAAGAAAGAAAGAAAGAAAGAAAGAAAGAAAGGAAGGAAGGAAGGAAGGAAGGAAGGAAGGAAGGAAGGAAGGAAGGAAGGAAGGAAGGAAGGAAAGAAAGAAAGAAAGAAAGAAAGAAAGAAAGAAAGAAAGAAAGAAAGAAAGAAAGAAAGAAAGAAAGAAAGTAGAAAGAAAGAAAGTTAGAAAGAGGAGAGGGTAGGGGTGGGGTCAGGGGAGAGGGAAGATAATGATTTAGATTTTGGATATGTTGAGTTTAAGATATCTATGGAATATTCAGTTGGAGATGTCCAGTAGAGAGATGGAAATGTGAGACTGGAGGTCAGGAGAGATGTTAGGGATTGACAGATATGAGA